TGAAGATGTACTGCACATAAGTAAAACATGTAAGAAGTCATGCATCATTTTGCTTTTAAAGCAATGTATCATTCACCTCCTTTTTAAAATACACATTTCTTTCCTTATGATTCTGGCTTTGCTGTACATATTTTCTATTCTCTTTAGGGGTGGTTTGCTTTGTTGTCATAGCAATGCCTTCTAATTCCTGCACACTCTAGTTTCCTTTCAGGTTTCTGCAGGCTGCAACCAGTCCCTCATTGTCATTATCAAATCTCCTAGCAGCTTTAATTCCTTTGTTTTATCTCAGAACTCTGCACATTACATACCTCCAAAGAATTCTGGCCCAAACAGGTTTTTAGCTCTAAATAGCTCTAAGTAATGGCAATAATGATATTGTTTGTATCTGCTTGAAGTTTGCATTGTTCTTGTGATGATCCTATATTTCAACATTATTATTCATTCATCATCTAAGCTTTTCTTAGACATCAACCCTAACCGCCTGGGTATACAGATCATGAAAATCAGGAACTAGGTGCTCTGAGTTGAGCGTGTTGCTTGTAGTATTTTACCGTAGGCCATTACCAGAATGGCACTATTAGACTGGGACAGGGCCAATTCAAACAACTATGTCCTAATTCCCTATGCAAAAAAAAGTCTGTTGCCTACTTTTCAGCAAAGTCCAGGCTTGAGCATCTGAGCATCTCCCCCCTGGCCCAGCCTGCCTCAGGTAGCTCTGCCAGGCCAGAAGAGGAAGCCTGGACAAGGGGAAAAAATACTTTTCTACCTTTTAGGAGTGCTGCAGGGAAGAATCCATTAATATTTGTGTCATATAAGTGCTTAGGTAGGTCATGGCAAACACTCCATTGTCATCTCAGCCTGTCCCTGGTGGCCTAGGGCTTGAAAAACTATGGCTGTAGTTTTGACAGATTGGTCTGAACTAGCTGTGAGGTTGGGAAGCAACATTGCTGAGCAGGGGGGAATCTCCAGAATGAAGAGTAAAGCTAGAACAATGGGGTGGGGCTGAGGGAGGTGGTAGGGAACTGAACAGATAACATTGTTTTTCCACTGGATCACATGGTATTTACATATATGTTGGAGGTAGTTCTTACAGGATGGGGAACATTTCATCACCTGGTGCAGCACAGCTCTTCATTCAGCCGATGTAAGCTACGGGGCTGTTTATTTTTCAAGCAATAACATATCACCTTATTTCCAGGGCACATTGTTACTGACTTGGATTCTGACCCTTAGCACTTAGATCTGGTGCCCATATTTAGTCACTGGGCTGATCTGTTCTTTGCATAAAACGTGACTGTATCTCATTCAAAAACTAGTTCACGCATTTCATTGTAGAATACATGAGGGAAACTCATCCTTTGCAACATGGAGGGCCACACTGAATGTGTTTGCATATATATATATATATATATATATATATATATATATTTCCATGACTTGCAGATTGAAAAATAAGCATGCATAGCCATAGTATTTGCATTTTACTTGTCATTTCCTTCAAAGTTGAATAGAAATTGCTCACTACTTAGCTTTAACAAGGACATAGTCCTGCAACCATAAAGCAAGGTCAGCTGGAGTGTCAGTGCATCAGTTCAGTTTGTAGACTTGTGGTGGATGGAGGGCCACACTGAATGTGTTTGCATATATATATATATATATATATATATATTTCCATGACTTGCAGATTGAAAAATAAGCATGCATAGCCATAGTATTTGCATTTTACTTGTCATTTCCTTCAAAGTTGAATAGAAATTGCTCACTACTTAGCTTTAACAAGGACATAGTCCTGCAACCATAAAGCAAGGTCAGCTGGAGTGTCAGTGCATCAGTTCAGTTTGTAGACTTGTGGTGGACTATCTACCTGGAGTGGGGACGGGGCTGAGTAAGCCGCCTGTATCCCTTGCTGTGAGGATGCTAATGAATGGATAGGATGGGGACACATTAGCTGAGGTATATATTGGTTCTCTACAGCTGTCATCTGCCTTGGGTTTGTCCTGCTCTCTCTCCTCTGCTGCTATGCTACCTTTGAGACTTCCCCTTTTCCGCCTGCTACCTTTCTGCACGCAGGGAGGCCACATTCACACACATGGCCCGTTATGTGAAGCAACTCTGAGTGTAAAGTGGCATGGGCAACTGGTTCCTCCTGGGTCTGAGGGGCACCAGATCACTGACAGAGGGGGATCCCCCAGTGGCTGATTGCTGAGCCAGCAGTGAAACTGGAAGTGCACTTCCGGTTTTGCAGCTGGTGATTCCAGGGGGTGCATAGCCAATCTCAGGGGGTGCATGCGCACCTGGGTGCACCCCCTATGCATTGCCAATGTATACTGGCTAGTATATATATATAAAAATGGTGTGGCCTTGACTATTGGTGTTATTCCTGCACCCAGGACCCACTTTCGTCTTCTTTTATAGAAAAGAGTGCTTTATCTTGAAGACTGTATGTAACCCAAGCCAACTCTGGTTCCTTCATGGGGCTGCCAGTTAGCGGGGTGAAACTGGCGACAGGCTAGATGAGCCCATGTACACCTCAAAAGCTACCCAAGCCACTTGGACACTATGGGGATAAGTGCAGTATAAATACCTACATAGATCATTCCAGTCTTTCACGCCATAACTCCTTAGGAGCCTCCCTTCACCTTCTTGTTGGTTCCTTAAAACACTCCTTTCCCATGCTTGACACATGGGAAGAAGGAAGAAGAGCAGGGATCAGATTGTTAGACCATGAAAACGGTGCTCAACCTTTTGGCCATGAGAGACGTGGGAGTGGTCCATGGGCCTGATCTAGCACATAGTCTGTGTGCAATGTCAGTCTGCAGGTGCAATCCAGAATGCTAGCACAACTCTGCCTGCTGGCTAGGCTTCACATGCCAGATCTGGCTGCACACTGGGCCCACCCTATGTGCCAGATTTGGCCACATGCACTGGATCTGGATACACACTGGCTTGACCCTGTGCACCAGATCTGGCTACAAAGTGGCTCTGTGTGCTGGCCTTACTGGATACTGGCATGATGTACCACACAGGACCACATATTCCAGTCCACAGAGCTTCCTACAAGTCTGTCACTAGGAGACCAGCAATTAACATTACCACTGTTTCCCCACTGCTAAATTTCCAGACTGGTGGGAAGATGGCCATGTGGGACAGATCTGGCCTGCAGGGCAGAGGTTGAGCACCACTGCATTACATCATTAACTGCCAAAGCACTGTTATGAACTGACCTCATCAAAACAGTGTCCCGGATACACCCCCAGCTTCTAGGAGCCTCAGCCATAGACCATAAACCCATCATGGTGGGTCCTGCATAAGCATAGAACAAAGAGATGGTTCTTGCTCTACAGAGTTTCAGTACATTGTCTTCTGGCTGGAGGTTAAGCTAGCTGCTTAACATTTCCTTGTTGTTAGAATCAGTTTACTTATACATTGATATTTTCTTAAACATGGTAAATGCATACATTGTGCAACTGAGACCATGATGAATTAAATTGTACCCTGTTGCTCCAGAATGAAGACCCTCCCCAATCTGCTTTTCAGCCCAAAATGAGCGTCGAACAAGTCTTCATTTAGGAGCTGTCTTCATAAATGTTGTATTTAGTTTTTAGGAAAGAGGTTTGATTTTCTGGGGAGGGATATTTATCTTCAATTCCTCCAAGTGCTTTGGAAAGCAGCCTCCACGCAGACTTTAATAGAGAAACCCACTTATTCTGACTCAGTGACCATTTGATGAAATGTCTAGAGAAGCAAAGAACAACAACAACAACAAGAAGATTTGCACAGATGCTCCTCTCTGACTAACAGAACGTCCACCCAAAGCTGATAGAGTGTGAGCATGTTTGTCATATGTGGGTGTATTTTCCCATATATTCATTTTTAAAGTTATGTTCTACCACACTAAAAATTATAGTTTACAAATAGGCATTCTACTGTAGTCACTGGGCTGAGAAGCTGACTCACTACTTGACCTCTGTGTGTGTCATTTGACCTTCTTGTTCCTTAGTCAACCCATCTGGGAAACTGGATGAGAAGAAAGAAAGACACCCCTGAAAGTCATACGTGTCTGAGCTGAAAACACTTGAAAATACAACATTGGCAACATAATGATACAGCTAATAGCTCTGTTCTTGTCCCAGTGGGAGGTATGGGTGTTCAGCACCTCTGAGTTAGTCCATATATATAAATATGGGTTCAAGTGCCTCACCCTAGGCCATGTTTACACTAGCAAATTTTACTCATTTAACTTGCTGGTACATAGTTTCCAATAGTGTAGTATCAGTAGAGCATGTACACATTTGGCTACCTTTGCTCGTGACACATTTCATCACTGCAGGAGTTTGCAGCCTACAGTATGCAAGCATTGCAACATCTCCTGCAGCATTGTCCAGCACATTACCTTGTTTGAAAATGTTTGTCTTATACTTCCAGCATATCTCTAAAAATCTATGTCCCTCATAACTGCTGTATTTAGTCTTCTATCCCTCCCCTTTGTGATGTCAGAATAATTTTGATGGGTAAAGGAAGCATATTGGTATCCAGTAGAATATCCTGTTATGGAGGGGGGTCTCATTATCCTTGCAAACAACTATATTGTTATAAATTTTGTTTCCTGTTGTGGAACCACTAATTGTTAATTCAACACATACAGTGTTAATAGCCCCAAATATTCAAAAATGATGAATCAGACTTAAAAAAAATCAGGACTTCCATATTTTGTTAAAAATCTCATCATCTTTTTAGCTAAATGTATATTAATTTTTCATTGTTTTCTGATTTTTGAGCCTGAAGAACACTTCTGAGTCATGTTTTCAAGGTTTTTTTTGCAATTGTGAAAGTTAGCAGCCCACATGAAAAAAAAGAAGTAGATTCTCATTTAATCAGTTGACCCCAGGAGCTGAGGCTTTAAACCTGTGAAGGTTGGCAACACTCTATATAATACTGTTTCTCTATCTTTTTTTTACATGTTTGTGGTTTCTCTTCTTATTACTGGCCTTAAGAGAAGATTGGTTTCCACCTCATGCAGTTTTCTCTACTTCTAGCTAAAGTTGTTTGATCCACTGTAAGGTGAAGTATCCAGCAGGTATTTTACATGAATCTTATTAAGTTTATTTTTACCTCTTTGGCTGATTTGTTGTTGCAACAATTGAGCTAGCCCAATGCTTCTGAGCTAATTGACATCAAGTACAACATACAAAACATAATATTAAATTCCCCAGGGGATCTATATAACAAATACCATGTATTTTAGGTAATGACACTTCAACCATTCTAGGTAATGTATCTTCAAGACTCTATGAGTCAAGGTCTCCTTGAGAGTTAGCTTGGAGTTTCTATACACAAGTTCTCCTGTTGGTAGGGTTCTCCTGTTGTCCCATCATATTATTAGGTGACACAGTCCTGGAAGGAGCTTCTGGCTTATTGCTGACTCACAGCAGCAGAGAATGGTAGGATCTGGGACATACTGGTCCTAAAGGAAAAGAACTCCAGATGTTGATGAGTCCAGGAGGAGCAATTTCCCCCCACCCTTTATTACTGGTTGCAAGTCTAGTTGTTGGAGATGGATGGGAATTCCACCAACTTAGGGAGTACAATATGAGACATGGACAGTCTGGAAAGAGCCCAGTGCAAAGCAACAAAAATTATGAAGGGCCTGGAAGACAAGACTTATGAGGAAAGGGTGAAAGAACTAGTGTTATTTCACCTGGAGAAGAGAAGACTAAAAGGGGATTTAATAACAGTTTTCAAATACGTGAAGGGTAATTATAGAGAAAATGGAGATGGGCTGTTCTCTGTGGCCACAGGGGACAGGACTAGAAGCAATAGCCTCAAGCTGCAGCAGGAGAAATTTAGGTTGGAGATTGGGGAGAACTTTCTGACTATGAGGGTGGTTAAGCATTGGAACAGGCTACCTTGAGAAGTTGTAGACTCTCCATCCTTGGACACTTTTAAATGCAGGTTGGATAGACAATTGGCTGGAATGGTTTATTTAGGGATGGTCCTGCCTTGAGCAGGGGGCTGGACTAGATGACTATGTGAGATCCCTTCCAACCTTACTTTCCTATGATTTTCTGAACAGCAGAAAATGTGTTGAATATCTTAAATAAAAACACCTTGCATTTTGTTTTTTATAGGTCTCATTGCTTGATCGGTCCAGCAGTTCTGGATCATGCTCAGAATTCAAAGGTTATAAGGGATTAGCTTTGCTGGATACCTGGAGGTAATGAAATTAAGAAATATTGTGTTAAGAAATATTGGTATTTGTGCTGTTCAGCTACTAGTATTGGAGATAGCTCTATATATTTACTGCCTGCATTGTTTGTCTAGGATAGTAAAGTGCCTTATGGTTAAAGGATTATTTTGTATGATTTTGCTAGGGGGTATTAGCAGCTAGGACAACAACATAAAAAAGGGGACTTAACTCCACATTATTACAGATCTTGAATTTCTTTTGAAAGTGATCCATACATGCAATGCATTTTATTCCCAGAACTAGCTGGTAAACAAATCATCACTGGATATTTGTGTGACCTTTATGTCCTATATACCTATGTAGGTAGCAAAAAAAGAGTAAAGGTTAACATCTTTTGTTTCCAGAGGGGAAAGTGAGGAGTTGAAAGGGATGAACTGAGGAGGCATAGCTTAAATAGACATGATTTTCTAATATAATAAAATTGTCTCTGTACCATGGAAACTAGGAATAAGCTCCTTAGAATGCACTTTAAGCTCATAGGTTCTATATAAGCGAGGGCTGTAATGCAATTTGCCTCGTTTAAGAGAGGATTATTAGTAGGGACAATCATAGTCTTAATGAAGTGTCGTATTTTTCTCTTTGACATCACTTTTTAAAAATGGAAACAGTCAAAATTCTTCCCAGTTCTTACATCCAATAAACACCAGGAAAATCTGACACAGTGAATTGATTAAGGCAGAAGCCTCTTTGTACTTCAGATTTCATTTAATTATCCTTTCATTGTGCAAATCATGAACTGAATTGCTATATAACACTCTTTTGAATGGCTATATAACTCTCTTTCCTCTGTAACTTCCTGTGTGGTATTTAGCACCATTACAGATTTTTTTCCAGGGCTTCCAAACAAACATTTAATCACACTGACAGATAATGCTATTATGTTTATCATGTGATAATAAGCCCATGCATTAAAGGGGTAAAATGTTTAAATTTAAATGCAATCTTTAGGGAAAGCTCTCCTGACAGGGGTTACAATTTGCCTGTGAATCTAATTATACAACATGCCGTAATCTCATTTAGTTCTGTACGTGAAAGAATCTGATGTAGACCATATGCATGCCTAATGTTGCACTGGGTATATCTCTTGCCTTTGAGAGCCAGTTATCTAAAACACTGTCAAGATTTGGTCTGGAACTTTAAAAATAATTATTTGCACAGATATTCATAATAATCCCATGGAACCTTGAAAATTAAATCTGATTCCTTACAGAGGGCCAGAGTTTGACACACACACTCCTGGGATGGTTTCATTGACCTCAGTGAGACTACTCATGGAACAAAGTATTATTCAGCATCAGTTAGAGTGGTTGATTCCTGCCTTGAATATTTTCTCTGCATCATTTATGTATCTTTGATCATTGTTATAAGATTACTCAGATGTGCTCAGTGTCATGGAAGTTTCCTTCCTTTCACACAAAAAGAGCACGGGAGCATTTGTTTTGGCCTATGTGCAGATGCTGCATATGACGGGGAGTAAAGAACCTTTGAAACTCCAGAGGTGTGATGGGTAGAAGGCTATCTGTAAGCTTGAGAGAAACTTAACCTCGTTCTCCTCATTGGTTTAAGCTCCTCCTAAGGAGAGGTTTTCAAATATGGGTGACTATCAAAGCCATCTGGAAATTCTGTAATGAAACATTTTTCTTTTTTATTTCTGTCATTGTGCAGTTTGTTTTTCTTAACACACTCCAATGCTATCCACCATATGTGCAGTAGTTCTAATAGCTTTTCAGACATTAACTAATCTCACAACATATCTCTGAGGAAAGGCAGTATCATTACTAGAGGGGTAATAGTTGTCAGCCGTGGTGGCAGCTATTTTTGTGTCTCCCACTTTGTAAAATGGGGATACAGATCAGTAGCATAACTGAGATGGAAACAGAAGCAGAAAGATGAAGTGATTTGCCAAAGGTCACAGGCACCTGGTAGGAGGGGGGGGGGGCAGGCGGGCACCGCTTAGCCGGCGGTGTGTTAGGGGAGGGTGCACTAAGCCATGGCACAGAAGTATAGGAGTGGATACGGGGCTTTTGACACACCCCTGGGCCTGCCCACAAATTGTGCCCCCCCCCAGACTCAGGAGGCATCAGTCACCCCTGCCTAAGGTCATATAATGAGGTGTCTGGTAGAGCTGGGTGTATAAGTAAAGAGTTCCTGATCCCTGCTCATGGGCTAGTACAACTGGATCATACAATGGATGCCACTGGAAAACAGCAGCTGAGTATAATTGTTGTAATTTCCCTTTTAGGAGTCACCTGAAGGAAGATGAAGGCAGCCCCTGTAGAATCCCATCTCTGTTTTCAATCCCTGGGATCAGAAATTTTAAGCATTTAGTCGTTTCTATCAGGACATTCAGTCCAGATGGAAGGGTTTAATAAAGAGGCTAACTCTCTACCTTGGTACTGAGTCATCATGATATGCTAATTCAAAGCTCCTAGCAACAGATAATAGCAATCACTGTTTTAGTTTCCTGAGTTTTTTCAATTTTCTTTTTTTAAGGGATGTTTGCTAGACCCCATGAAAACACCACAAAGAACTAGAGAAGAACAGTTTGAGGTGAAGGACCATGTTGGCACAAGAACAAATGGGAACAAAACTGGACAGGACTTCATTTTGGCTGGAAATTATGAGGCGGTTTCTAAGTGCCAGAGGAGTGGTGTCCTGAAACTTGGCCATGCAAAAATCCTAATTGTTTTTAAGATGGGCTTAATCGGTTTATAAAGGGAATTATGATATACTTGCCTGTAGTAGGACAAGATTGAGGTTGATAATTTAGGGGGTCCCGTTCAGACCCATTTCCTTAAATTAAGACCCTAGTCTACCAGCTTTCTTGATAGCTGTGTTGACTTCATGTTCTTATATGCTGTGGGATGAGCAAGAATTAACTGAGAAAATGATGGCTTACAATAGTCTTTAAAAATATAGTTGTACAAATACTATGAGCTGGTCAGAAATTATTCTGAGTGTACAAAGCTGATGAAATGGATAGAGCTTTGGTAGCTTTCTGGATCTTGTTCTGGAGTTATTACAGAGCCAAGGGCCCAATTTATCCTTGGCTTAATTCTGTGGAAGTCAGTAGTTCTGCCCCAGTGTGAATTTGACCCATCATGAATGTGTGTGCTTAACTATACTGGAGATGAATTTTGGTGCTGTTTGAGCTGTGCTGCAGCTTGGTCATTGCTCACATAAATCAACAGCTCTGTTTGCCTTCTTTTCATTGGTTTTGCAGGTGTAACAGAGTAAGAGTACTTTAAATACACAAAATAGAACAGACCTAGTAGAAAGCAAGAAACAGCCAATTGTACATTGCCCCTTTGCTGAGACATGCTAACCAGAGCAGCATGGGGGCCCTGTCTTCCCATGGCTTAGGTAAGAGCGACATCTTGTGGTAGTTTTATCACCTGTATTTGCAGACTTCTAAATTTCTTCAACTTTTCTTTTCCTGTTGAGATCACACATGATACAGCACTTGATCTGAGCCTTCAAAAGACCTAGAAGCTAATAAAAATGCCACAAATACACATATTAAGGACAGTGCCAGTTTTCTGGCCTTTTGTACTTTCTACTCAGGCTATCTTGATTTAAATCAGCCTCTTAAAAGCAAGTTTTAGTGCAACCCAGGTTAATTAGGCAGAGCAGGTTATAACTCTGTTGCTATTAGTAATAAAACATCTCTGTCTGCTTTAAGATTTTGTGCTAGTGCTCATCACTGTGGTATTTGAATATTTGTCAGGTTAATTGACTGTCATAACAAGGTCCTTTATGGAGTCCTCAGGTAGTCTTTTTCTTGTTCAAGGAAGCTCTGAGGGAGGAAGGATTCCTGATTTTTTTTTTTTTTGGTTTGGAAAGTAAGGTGTTTTTTCTGATGACGAATCATCTCCTGAAAAGTTTTCTCAAGGAGGAAGTTCTTGTTGCATGACCCAAAGGTAGTTTGAATGTCTCTGGAAATTCATACCACAGCCACAACCCCTCAAGCAAGAAATCTTTATCTTAAGTTCTCCTGTGAGTCATCCTGGAGCTTCTGCTCTGTCTCAGAGGAGTGCAGTTGTCCTTCCAGCTCACAGATGGAGATTTGATCTGTAATGTATCCAGCACCCAATCTATTAATGGCTCTGAAAATGAGGACTGAGTGGGTGCTGGTGGGACCAGGGCACAGACTTGATATGCAGCAATAACTTGACATCATATGGGAAGCTATGCTTTTCAGAAGATGGAGCCCTGACATTGTTTTTGCATGTAACTTTTGATGTGGTGAATGACAGTATTCTAGTTGGCAAGTGACAAATCCATGTGTCACTATCTTTAGGCTCTTGTCTGGGACTAAGGTACAGAGTTTCCTAGTGAGCTGGCGGTGAAAAATTGCAGTTGCTACTTTAGTAATAGATGCTACCTGATCACGATCATCTAGGCCCTGGAATGAGTCAAACAGGCATTGACATGTTCTTCCAGGTGAAGAGGTAGAGAGTACCCTAGCAAGTTCTTCAAAGCATTTCCCTCTTTCATGCAGTGTCGCTTCACTCTTCTCTGGCTTGAGTTTGCACCAGCTGCTCTTCACCCAGAAGCTGATCTCTTGTAGCCATCATGACACCTGGGTAGTAGTTTTTGCTTGCAGTTGTGGAAAATGATTTACAGCTGAGCATCGTCAGCCTGTTGTTGCATCTCAGTGTATTTCCACATGGTCTCATGAGGGCAGGAATCCCTATGGAGTCCAAAATTGTGGGAGCCCTCAGGTAAGTTGATCAGTTCCCCATCACTACTCTGGTCTCTCTTGAGGCCAGAGTGTGTCTCAGTGCGCCGGGACTCAGGATGTGTGAGTTCAATTCTTGGTTCTGCCAATCATTTGCTCTTTGTCCTTAAGTAAGTGCTTAAGTTTTCACATGTGTAAAACAGGTATAGTAATACTTATATTACTGTATGATACATGTTGCAACATGGGGATTATGTGCTATGTATGACACTGAATAGGTATTACTACTGTACTAAAATCCTTCCACTGTCAAAATATATTCCATTGTTTCCTGTTGTTATTTTAATATAGTAACTTGCAAGGACATTTTAATGTTTATTTCAGTGTATATTCTTCAGCTATGCTGTTGTCAACTGAGGTAGTCTTGTAAGATTAGTTTTGTCCATTTGGGTTTTTTGGTGGCAGGGGGGTGTATTTATTTATTTTTTGCTCCATTGCTGTAATTTTCTGAGCTTTTTGAGTTTTATGTACATGTATCTGTTATCTTAGAAGGTCTGCATTTCAGTAGGCATATGCAATCAGGTTTCTGTGGTCTATGCAGTAATCATGCCCATAAATATTTTAAGATTTACTGCCTTTTTGGAAATAGCTTCACTATAAGCTACAGAGTTTTGGATTGGGTTTCAGTTCCATTATCTCAGAGGTGGGCAATTATTTGGGCTGGAGGGCCACTTAGGGAGTTTTAGTGAGCTGTTGCAAGCCAGGTCAGCACCGTGCCCCAATCCTCTCCACCACACTTCACCAAAAGTCCCTAAGTGGTGGATTACTAGACGGTCTGGAGGCATTGGATGGAGCGGGTGCGTGGGGTCACCATGAAGACTGTCCTGGGACCCCAGCAGACGGGGCACACTCAGCTGGGTGGTGGGTGGGATGGGGCTGTGGGCAGGCAGGAAGTTGTGTCCGGCAGTGGGACAGGTGAGTGCTCTGGATCTAGGGCCAGGGGCCAGGATTGTGGGGTGATACCATGGGGCTGGCGCTGGGACAGAGCTGTGTTCTGCTTTCCACATGACAAATCATGCCTGGCCCAACCTGGGAGGTGGTGGAGCACACGCTTGTGACCTGGCCTCTACTATCTTCACTCCAGCACAGGCATGTGTAGGCAGCCCCAATATAGCATGGCAGCACAGCAGTGTTGCCTGGTACACTAATCCAATCACAATCTGTCGGGGCTGTCCCGTGCTGCTGGTCTGCACTGCTCTGCAGACACACTGTACTGGGGTTGCCCAGTGCCCACGTGTGCTTCTGCTAGAGCAGGACAGGTGTGCACTCCATCTCCCATCCGGATCAGGTCGGTCATGATCTGTTGTGCAGAGAGTTGATAACGGCTCTGCCTTGTCCCTGGCCCCATGCTGTTACTGCCCTGCGATCCTGCCCTGGCCCTACCTGCCTGTTGCGCTCCCAGACGCCACTCCCCACTCTTCCGCAGCCCCATCCCACCTGCATAGCTGAGTGTACCCTGCCTGTGGTGGTCCCTGGCTGGTTTCCATGGAGACCCCACCTGCCTGCTTCATTTAGCAACCCCAGCGGTGGGTGCAGGGCGGACCAGCCAGGGTGCCAGGCAGTGGGACCAGGTCTGGCAGCAGTGGTGACACTGGCAGTGGCAGCCAGAAGGAGCTGCCTCTGCCAGGGCTGCCAGGAAGCAGAGTCCAGCTACCATGTCACTCAAGCTCTGTTGCACATCCAGGGGCAGTGTGGGACTGGTTACATGTGCCATGGCTTGACTGTGCCTGAAGCCTGGGTTGGGCTTGGCCAAGAGATCTCCTGTGGGCTGGATAAGATCCCTTGGTGGGCTGGATCTGGCCCGCAGGCTGTATTTTGCCCACTGCTACATTATCTGGTTTAATTAATTTGTACCACACATCAAAAGCCCTCACCCCATTTGGCACTAATCAATATCTTTATTGGCTGTCTCAACACTGTAGTCAAGGAATTAGGGAACATGGAGGAGAAACTACTTCCTTCACACTTTAGGACATCTTTCAGGTATGTTGCCTAGCAGAAAACGGAAGCTTGTGAGGAAGTGACAGTTGGGTGATGGGACTGGCAAGTGGATGTGGAGCATTTCACATAGTTGGTTGAAATTTGTCTCGGCATGTAGTAACTAAAATAATTAGCTTCTGATGGCTGCTCAGTGCCCTCTAAAATGAGGTGGCAGTCCAAACTGCACTGGAGAGAAGTCTGCTCTGTAACAATCATTAACCACAACCAGTGTATAGTTTGGCAAGTTGAGAGGGAAATTGCAGAGAGGGAAAACTTTCCCACCCCCACCATAAAGGGCCTTGCTTCTTAGTCTTTACAGACCCACCATAAAGGGCCTTGCTTCTTAGTCTTTCAGCTGCACTGGGTGTGTCTACACGTGCATTTATGCCAGCTTAAATTTACTGTGCAGTAAGCAGCAATAGGCCAGCATCTACATGTGTAGGCATTAAAGCACATTAATGCTGTGTGTGGACTGACTTGGGACTAAAGTTAGTCTCAAGTCAGTCTACACACACAGTGTTACTGTGCAGTAAGGTGTCTACATGTGCATTATTATGCAGTAACTAATCGGG